CCTATGCCTGGTGGAACCAGGGAGACGAGGTGAGAGGGGGAGAGTGGGGAGTGGGGAGGGAGGGTACAAGGAGGGGGGAGTGGGAGTGGAGGGGCGGGGAGGAGGAAGGCAAGAGGCAGAGGGGCAGGCAGCTTTTAGGGCAGCGTTGATGCACGTGGTGGGATGGGCGTTGTCCACGTTCAGACCGATGCCTGTGGCAGGTTGTGAAACACAGCGAGTGGGAGGGTGGGGAGGGGAAGGAGGGAGAGGGGAGGGTGGAGGGGTTGGGGAGGGACGGTGGGAAAATCGTAAATAATACCCTCTTAACTGCACTGGCACCTCACCAGTCATCTATCCACACGCCCTCACTAGAATCCAGTTCGTTAAGCAGGTCACTCACACACTCACCCACCCACTTGGTACTCACTCACTCACCAACTCAGGTACCCGCTCACTCACTCACTCACTAATTCACTCCCTCACTCACCCACTCACTCACTCACTCACTCACTCACCCACTCGCTCCTATGATTGACCCACAGTGACGCCAAACGCCATGCTCCAGCGCAAACTAACACTTATTCACTCCCTCACTCACCCAACCACTTCACACATCACCCACCCACCCACACTCCCTCGCCCACCCACTCAACAACCACTCAGTCACTCCCTCACTCCACTCACCCACAGTAACGTCAAATGCCCTGTTGCGGTAGGATGACGTGCAGAGCACGCCACCCACCTTCAGCCCGCCCAGAAAGATGTCGTTGGGCCACTTGAGGGCCACCTGGGGGAGGCTGGTCTGGTGAGAAGGCGGAAGGGACAGACAGGGGGAAGAGATAGGGAGGGTGGGAGGATGGGATGGGATGGGATGGGATGGGATGGGATGGATGGACGCCCCCACCTTCAGCCTGCCCAGAAAGATGTTGTTGGGCCACTTGAGGGCCACCTGGGGGAGGGAGGTCTGGTGAGACGGCGGAAGGGACAGACAGGGGGAAGAGATAGGGAGGGTGGGAGGATGGGATGGGATGGGATGGGATGGGATGGGATGGATGGACGCCCCCACCTTCAGCCTGCCCAGAAAGATGTTGTTGGGCCACTTGAGGGCCACCTGGGGGAGGGAGGTCTGGTGAGACGGAGGAGGGGGCAGACAGGGGGAAGAGTTATGGAGGGTGGGAGGATGGGATGGGATGGGATGGGATGGGATGGGATGGATGGATGCCCCCACCTTCAGCCCGCCCAGAAAGATGTCGTTGGGGCCACTTGAGGGCCAGGTCTGTTGGCACGGAGGGGGGGAATGGGAGCTAGAGAGAGTATGAGGAAGGGAAGGGGTGGAAGGATGGGAGAAAGACAAGAATGTCGCTTGACCATTCAGGTGCCAAGAGCAGGCGACTGGTCGGGCTGTAACAATGTTTTAGTCATAAATGAATCCGGTGCCATGTGCAGGACACTGGCCCAGCTGAAAGGGAGCCAGAGAGCAGAACACTGTGAGGATTGCTGCGCTGCAGCATGACCTTTATCGGAACGCATTTCAGCCACCTACCCCTCTCTCCTTGGCCATGTCTTCAATAGCTTGCACCACTGCCAGCGACAGCACGTACTGCAGCAGCGGCAGTGTGCGCCCGTCAACCCAGCGGAGAGAGAGCGAGAACATGAGGCACCCCTCCGGGCTCTCCCACGCACAGCAAGGGCCCGACTTAATTGTTCAGTCATTCACTTGCACACAAACCAGGCACCTACCCCTCTGTCCTTGGCCATGTCTTCAATAGCTTGCACCACTGCCAGCGACAGCACATACTGCAGCAGAGGCAGCGTGCGCCCGTCAACCCAGCGCAGCGAGAGCGAAAACATGAGGCACCCCTCCGGACTCTCCCACGTGTTGCCCCCTCGCCCTGCCACATGGGGCAGTCAGAGAGATATACAGAGCGGAGGGGGAGGGGGGGGGGTAGGGGGACGGGGGGATGGGCGGCGAGGGGGGGGACATAGCAGCCAATTAGAATTTCAAACAAGTTCCCATCGATGTGGCATAGAAGAGGAAGATGGAGGGGCGAGATGAAGAGGAATTGAGCGGAAGGACGAAACAGGAGAAATGGAGCGGGGCAGATGTGGGAAGGGAATTGGGAGGAAAGAGGAAGAGTATGAGGGAAAGTGGGATGAGGGAAGTACCTCGTCCGCTGTACTGAACGCGAGAGATGCAGACGGTGCCTATGGGGAGGGTTTCGAAGCTCCTGAAAGAAAAACCAGCATCAAAGCATCATCCATCCATGCGTGCATGCGTGCAGCAGCATGGCGCATGACGCATACTTCACATCATGCATGCTTTCAACAAAGTGCAACCCACGAGATCCATCCACCAACGCAGCACAACACATGCCAGGCATGCATGCAGCACAACACATGCCGTGCATGCATGCACAGCACAGCAGCACATAACACCGTGTGCCAATCACCACCATGCAGCACAGCAGCAGAGAGGCACCATGTGCCTTGAGAAGACGTCAAGCTTCTTCTCTTAGTCACACAAGGTCTTCAATCTCCCTCCCTCGTCCACCACAGCATGAACATCAAGCACACAGTACAGGAATCTCCAACATACTTTTCCCAAGTTCCCCTCACTCTTCCCCAATCTTTCTCCTCCCTTCTCTTCCTCTTCCCTCCCCACCAGCACCTCCCATCTACTACTCCACCCCCAGACCCATCCATCCCTTTCCATCAATCCCGCTTCCATCCATAACCCGTCCACCCCCTTCCTCCTCTCCCTTTCCTAACCCTCTACCATTTATTCCATACCATTACCCCCCCACCCCACCCCCCGTCCTATCCTAGCCTGCTCTAGCTGCTTACTTGGATACAAGTGTGTGAGTTGACGAAAGTCGTTTGCTGGCCAGCAACGTCCGTCCAAGCCCGTCAGTCGACAGAGAACTGAAGAATTTATCCACATCGAACCCGACCACATCCTTCGCAGAAGAAACTTCCGCGTCGCTTCTCAGCACCACGTTGCCGCTGTCCTCGGCAAGCTTTATCCCCGATGAGAGACTTTTCGAATCGCCAGATCCCTTAACGAACGCGTACACCTCGTCCTCTGTCGACATCTTCGAAGAAAACGGTTCCGAAATTTCAGGAGATCCAGGTGCTGACGGAGCTGATGCAGAGATACCGCCGGCGTTCGCGGAGCGCTCTATTTGATGCGTCGGCCACGTGGACGCGTTCCGTGCGTCCTCCGCGCCAGACTTTCGTTGCGATAGATTATGCGAAACCGCACAAGCTCGGAACTTCGAAGAAACTGCAGGATTTAAGTATGCGCCGGCTGATTCCGAAAAAACGGCCGGAGAACCGTTTGCTGATGAGTTAAATCCGGCGGTCCGGCAGGTCCCTTGCGGTCCCTGTTCACGATAGGTCGAATCGCGAAAAACCGCTGGAAAAATAATGCTACTAGTCGATGGAGCTACGGAATCGGCGCGACCTCTAAGGGAGGGACAGTACGGCAAGATAGAACCGGTGTGAGAGAGAGCGTAGGGACGTGCGATAGGCTGGAGCGTGAAGCTTAGATTGCGAAAGATTGGGCTTGATAGAGTGACACGAGGTAGAGAAAGGAGCCTTAGAGGCAACAACAGGCTAAGGGACATGCCTACAAAAAAATCCCTGCAACACTGGATCAGAAACGGTGCATGCTACCTAGTAGTACTACTGACCTACTACTAGCTTAATAGTACCGACGAACTCGCCACGTTATTGAACGAGGATACAGGCACACAAAAAGGGTTACTAAGGTAGGAGGTGAGGGAATCTGAATATTCTGAATCCAGTTGTCTAATAAAAAAACGAGCAACAGGAACAAGCTTTGCTGGCATGGCAAAGCCCTAATCTGCTGAAGTATGGCCAAGGGAGGTCGAGGAGGGAGCAAGGTCTTCAGGAAAAGGTGCGCTGTCAGTTTGGCGATTCAATTCCCTGGACGAAATATGTCGATACTGGTTACCAGGCAGATGTTCAAGACTTCCCGGAAAAGCGAACAATCTGGAACCTCAGCGAAGCGTTTCGCCGATCTTTTGCGAGACCTTGGGAACTCTTCTGGTGTTTCCCAGTCGTTACGGCACAGCACAGTTGCGACGTTCCCATCTGCAAGTTGCTTTTTGTTCTCATCGCCCCTACCCATCACTCATCCGCGGCAGAAGGTTAGTCCGAAACTAGGTAAACTATTCTGGTTTCTTGCTTATTCGAGTTACTAATTGCTACCAATTTACGTCAAGTTTAATGTGTTCTGTCGGAACTTATTGTACTGGATGGAGGCTTTGTTGGTGCATTTTCTGGCATGCCTTGTTTTTTAGCACAGCCATCATTCTGTGACAATGACCGTCTAGTATCGGTAGCTTCGCTTTTCCAATCCTTGGCCAAAAAGCTCTTCAATTCCTTTGATAGAATCCTCATTTAGTCTTCTTGCTTGCGGCACAGACTCGCGGACGCTCGTTGGAGGGTTTTCACGCAAGCGAGCCCGCTCCCGACAGCGTCCGTCGCTTCATCTCCCCGCGTTCACTTCGTCGCACACCCGCTGGTCGTCTGTCGCAAGTAGCCATGGACGTCGAGAGGCTCCTGTTCGCGGGAACGAGCATAAACAGAAAGCGTTTCAAAAAGGATATCGACGTTTTCAAGGTGCTCGTTAGAGTAGTAGCTGTGCGCGTATCACGTTCGCGAATTCCCAATTTTCTTAGCACCTCAAGAGCTATAGCCGTTACACCTCTCGAAAACCTTGTGTCGCCAGCCGGCTACGGAACGGGTGTTACAGTTACGCTGGTCGCATATGTATACTTGGCATTGCATCAGCGGACAAGCGAGTCACACTAAGGGTTTCGGGCTTCACCATACGGGGTTTTCGGGGTTTACCAGGTTTTCGCGGCTGAGGTTTTTTCTTACCTATTTCTGCTTTCTGTGCTTCCTTCTCCTCCAATGTATGCAGGCGCGCGAGCAGACGGCAACAGCAGGAGCAGCAGCTTCCCAATCAGAGATTGACGGTTCAGATCGACCGGATGGTGGAGCGTCCGGGGCTTCTGGTGGAGAGGCATCGGAAAAGAAAATGGACCCTGTTGAGGTGAGCACCGGTTGTATCTTCTCAACCCCTCACGTTCTCTTTGAGATGTTTTGGGTCTCAGCTTCTCAAACAACTTTCGTGTTGATTTTTTGGAAAATCCATGAGGCTCTCATGCTTATTCCCGTTTCTTTTTATTAATATTTTTTTCTTCTCTTTCTCCTCCCCCTTCCCCTGCCACGTGGCAGCATGCAGCAGTGCTGCGCAAGCGCCATCGCATCCACGTGTCCAGCCACCTCGTGACAGCTCCTCTTGAGACCTTCCAAGAACTGGCGGACAAGTAAGTGAGTGGGTGGCAGACAAGTGAGTGAGTGGGGTTGTGACTCTAATTAGGCGATGACGCTGCTGCTGCTGCTGCTGCCGCTGCTGCTGCTGCTGCCGCTGCCGCTGCCGCTGCTGCTGCCGCTGCTGCTGCTGCTGCTGCTGCTGCTGCTGCTGCTGCTGCTGCTGCTGCTGCTGCTGCTGCTGCTGCTGCTGCTGCTGCTGCTGCTGCTGCTGCTGCTGCTGGCTTTGCTCTTGCTCCAACATGTCTCAAAACCTACATACTCCTCACCACCCCATCCCACCACCCACCCATCAGGTACAATTGTCGGCGGCGCATTTTGCGCAATCTGCAGGAGATGGGGTTTGAGCACCCCACGCCCATTCAGAGGCAGGCGGTGCCGCTGCTGCTGCAGGGGCGGGAGTGTTTCGCCTGTGCGCCCACAGGGTCCGGCAAGACTGTTGCCTTCCTGCTGCCCATTGTCATGGCTCTCAAGGTGGGCTTCACAGTGAGATTCAGGGCTCAAGGTGTGCTCAAGGTGTGCTGCTGCACGGCCGGGAGTGCTTTGCCTGTGCGCCCACGGGGTCTCGGAAGACCGTCGCCTTCCTTGTGCCCATCGTCATGGCTCAAGTGAGTCTAATTTTGAGTCGACTAAGAAATGTAGAATCAGTGAAAGCGGGTCTCCCGTGGTGTGGTCGGGGCTGTGAGAGCTGGCACTGCAGATATCGCGACGAATCGACGACTGCGCTGTTGAGCCGTCTCTTTTCCTGTTTCTGTCGTCGTTTCCCTTCACCCCCACTGCGCCTGCCATGCCAGTCTCACCCCTGACGCCATGAGAGCAGTTATTTTGGTGCCATTAAACTCTAACCCGTTTTCTGCTTACCTGTTTCCTCCTCCTCTCCTCCTTTCCACCCCCACCGCCAGTCCCACTCCCCAGATGCGATCAGAGCAGTGGTCCTGGTGCCAACGCATGAGCTAGCCCTGCAGATATCACGGGCACTGAAGCAGCTGGCAGCGGGAACAAAGCTCAGGGCGCGGCTGCTGACCAAAGCCACTACCAGCTTCCCCCTCCACTCCACTGCCCCATCACCCCCCCCCCCCCCCCCCCCCCCTCCTGCCACCAGAGTCACTCCCCAGATGCGATCAGAGCAGTGGTCCTGGTGCCAACAAGGGAGCTAGCCCTGCAGATATCGCGGGCGCTGAAGCAGCTGGCAGCGGGAACAAAGCTCAGGGCGCGGCTGCTGACCAAAGCCACTGCTGGCTGTGTGGAGCTTAAAGGAGCGGCCTGTGACGTGCTGATCTCCACTCCTCTCCGGCTAGCCCACCTGGTGGCTGAGAAGAAAGTGGACCTGAGCCGGTGAGTGGGTGTTACTGGGTGTGACTGGGTCTGTGTGGGTGTGGTTCGGTGTTGAGAGCACGAAGCTCAGATCGCGGCTGCTCCTGGTGAGCGACGAGTGTGTTATGAGACGTCTCAAAACACTTCTTCAAACGCGGCATGCACACTGCCCGCCCTCCTTCACCCTAGCTCTCGTCTCAACCCATCTCCGCGACTCCTCCTGCTCTTTCACATGCTTGCAGAGTGCAGCACCTAGTACTAGACGAGGCGGACAAGCTCTTCGAGATGGGCTTTGTGGAGCAGATCGATGGGGTCGTGGCGGCATGCTCCCTGCCCGCTCTCACGCGCTCCCTCTTCTCCGCCACGCTGCCAGAAGCAGTCGAGCAGCTGGCGCGCTCAGTCATGCATGACCCCGTTCGGATCGTTGTGGGCGACAGGTGAGGCATGCCTTGGGTGCATTTGCTTGCTGCAGCCATTCGTTTCCAGGCGCTGCATGCACCCTGTCACGCTGCACGCTGCCTGCCGTCACGCGCTCCCTCTTCTCCGCCACGCTGCCGGAAGCAGTCGAGCAGCTGGCGAGATCCGTCATGCACGACCCCGTGCGCATTGTCGTGGGCGACAGGTGGGGCTTGAGAGTTTGGTGCAGCCATGTGTTTCTGGATGTGCTTTTAAGAATTCTCGAATGCACGGTGGCCGCTGCCCGCCCTAAACCCTGCTTGCTCTTCTCCACCACACTGCCTCCAAATTGTGAAACAGCTGGCTGACGTATTATTTGTCATGTCTTTATTACCATTACCATTACCATTACCATTACCACTACCATTACCATTACCACTACCATTACCATTACCACTACCATTACCATTACCATTACCATTACCACTACCACTACCATTACCACTACCATTACCATTACCATTATCACTACCATTACCATTACCATTACCATTACCATTACCACAATTATTACCATTAGCAGCGGCTGGTATTCGTGGGCACGGACGAGGGCGAGCTGCTTCGAGGCTCACTCGCAATCTTGCGTTTCTTTCTCATTTACTTGCACCTGTCTCAGGAACGCAGCAGCAGAGACGGTCCAGCAGAGGCTGGTATCGTGGGCACGAAGGAGGGCAAGTTGCTGAGTCCTGAGGTGCCATGTCTCCCCATGTTCTCACACGCATTGCAGGAACGCTACAGCAGAGACAGTGCAGCAGAGGCTGGTATTCGTGGGCACGGAGGAGGGCAAGTTGCTGAGTCCTGAGGTGTCATGTCTCCCCATGTTCTCACACGCATTGCAGGAACGCAACAGCAGAGACGGTGCAGCAGAGGCTGGTATTTGTGGGCACGGAGGAGGGAAAGCTGCCTTGTGAGTCAACTTGAGAGACCGACAATTCTGCAATTCTTTCTCATTTACTCGGGTTGGGCCACATTGCAGGAACGCAGCAGCGGAGACGGTGCAGCAGAGGCTGGTATTTGTGGGCACGGAGGAGGGAAAGCTGCTGGCGATGCGGCAGCTGCTGCAGCAGGGCGTGCGGCCGCCAGTGCTCATCTTCGTGCAGAGCAAGGAGCGCGCGCAGCAGCTCTTCTCTGAATTATCTTTCGATGGGTTGAACGTGGATGTCATACACGCTGATAGATCTGTTGCTCAGGTGAGATGAGTGGCGTGGCATAGGTGGGATGGTGCTGCAGCAGGGCGTGCGGCCGCCCACCGGTGCTCATCTTCGTGCAGACACAGCAAGGAGCGCGCGCAACAGCTCTTTTGAGGCGCCTCAAAAGTGCAGCAGGGAGTGCGGCCGCCGGTGCTCACATTCGTGCAGATCAAGGAGCGCGCGCAGCAGCTCTTCTCCGAGTTGTCTTTCAACGGGGTTGAACGTGGGCGTCATACACGCTGACAGATCCGTGGCGCAGGTGGGATGAGATGAGTGGTGCAGGTGAGGGCTGGTGGAGGTCATATCTATGGTGCAGGTGAGGGCTGGTGGAGGTCATATCTATGGTGCAGGTGAGGGCTGGTGGAGGTCATATCTATGGTGCAGGTGAGGGCTGGTGGAGGTCATATCTATGGTGCAGGTGAGGGCTGGTGGAGGTCATATCTATGGTGCAGGTGAGTCGCACCTGCCCGCCCAGCAGCTCTTCTCCGAGCTGTCCTTTGATGGGCTTGACGTGGACTTTATTCATGCTGAGACAGATCCGTGGCTCAGGTAAGATGAGTGGCGTAGGTGAGTCAGGGCTGCAGCAGGGGTGCGGTGTGGCCGCCGGTTCTCATCTTCGTGCATTGCAAGGAGCGCTCTCAGCGGATCTTGTCAGAGCTCTCCTCTGATGAGCTCAGTGTTGACATTATCCATGCGGACAGATATCCGAGCTGTCGTTTTATGGGCGTAATTCCGTTGCAAGGAGCTGACCTCACCTCACGGGGCTTATGATGAATCCGTTTTCCTTGCCTTTCCTCCCTCCTCTCCTCCCCCTCTGCCTGTCCTTTTTTTCCAGAGGGAGCAAGTGGTGGACGCGTTCCGCGAGTGCAAGATCTGGTTCCTCATTGCAACGGACCTTATGGGATGTGTTTTCAGCTATGAGGTGACTCTGACTGAAACCCTTTCCTCCCTCCCCCCTTTCCCTTGCTCGTCCCCCTTTCCTCTCCTCTCCTCTCCTCTCCTCTCCTCTCCTCTCCTCTCCTCTCCTCTCCTCTCATGTCCTCTCCTCTTCGTGTGCTCTCTGACAGAGGGAGCAGGTGGTAGACGCGTTCCGCGAGGGCAAGATCTGGTTCCTGATAGCAACAGACCTGATGGGACGAGGCATGGACATCGCAGGGGTGAATGTGGTGGTGAATTACGACTGCCCGCAGACCACCGCTGCCTACATTCACAGGATAGGTGCGCTTGGGTGCAAAATGCTGGCTTGCTGGCCTGCTTGCTTGCTACATTGCTGGTGGGCTCTGCCGGGGTGAATGTGGTGGTGAATTATGACTGCCCGCAGACCACCGCTGCTTACATCCACAGGATAGGTGCGCCTACTGGATGCTTGATTGCTTGCATCCACGTTCTATTTCATAAGCTACGGTTCTGAATGGTGTTGGCCTCTGCCGGGGTGAATGTGGTGGTGAATTATGACTGCCCGCAGACCACTGGCGCCTACATCCCGAGGATAGGTGCGCCTGGTGAATATTATGGCTGCAGTCAGCCATGACACATCTTCCTTCTCACTTCCTCATGCTCTACAGGTCGCAGTGGCAGGGCGGGGCGGCCAGGCGAGGCAGTGACGTTTTATACGGAGGAGGATGAGCCGAACCTGAGAGCCATAGCCAATGTGATGGCGCAGTCTGGCACTGAGGTGCCGGCTTGGATGAAATCTCTGCCCAAGAAAAGGCTGCGCAAGCACAGGGATGGAGAGAAATCGGTTGCTTTGCCGCCCAAGCGAGCGCCGATTTCGACGCACCCGGCCGCTCTGGCAAAGGGGGTGAAGCGCCGGAAGGTGGCGTCAAAGAAGGGTGATCTGTCGTCGTAGAGAGTAGCTGCTGTTTTTTTATAGGGTCGGCATGCAAATGTTGGATGGTCTTGTTAATTAGACGTTTAAGTACTGTCCAAAATTCACACATCTGCTTGGGATGTGGTTTCACATGTAAGTCTCAGTTGCGGATGTTCCAGAAGTGGTCTTATCCGCTTAACGGGTCAGAAAGAAGCGTATGTAAACCAATCTGATCCGAACAGCGTGCGAAGTTGTTCATACCCTCCTCGGAAATGTGGGGTGGGAAGAGAAATTGGCTGCTGGTTGGCTGGATCCAGTAATCACTACTCCACGTCATTGACTCATCGCTCAGATTTAGCCAAAGCTAAAAAGGCTTGTTCCGAGGCTCTTGGAGAATGGTGCTTGGCCAGAATTGTGCCATGCTGGCTGTCCGCTATGTCTGTCAAGGCTCGGGTATTTGCTTTTGATGTGCTTTCAAAACTTTTTCCTCGTGCGATATTTTCTTCACGTGGTTGCATGAGTGCATCCATGCGCTGGCGAATCACCTGGACTACAACAGTGCACGGCATTCCGCGGTCCGGAAACACCAGCAGAATCTGTCCGTCCGTTCAACGACAGAATGCCCGTCGATATCTATCATGTGCCGTGCAGCGTGCACCCTCGGGTTTGTGCGGACGAGAATGTCGACAGCGGAGCCTAAGTGGGGTGCGGGACAATCCATCTTTGCGCGGATGGATAGTGAAGTGCCTGGAGCCAATCAAACGCAAGAACTTTTGTGCGCTCCTTGACAGCCAGATGCGGAAAAAAGAATGGACAGACGCAAAACGGGTTCACAGCCGCACAGGCAACTGGAGGTCAGATTCACTTCCACGAGAAAGATTCTTGGAAATTTTTAAAGTGCCTGAGCTGACGATGACTAGCACCAGAAAACTATGGCCATTATTGTGCGGCTTGTGTTGGTTTGGTTGGTGAGGGTCAGAAAAGCTTGGATGTTTTCGGAGCAGAAAGTGCGTGGTGGAGCACAAGAGGCAGGATTTTTTGTCAGAAGGGCAGACTACGACACGCGGCGAAATCTCGAGAGTTCATCACTTCTTTCGGGTCGCCTTGTCAAGCAGCGCTGAGGGCCATGGGAGGGTGAAAAAAAGGCGGTACAGTAGCAGCGTAGCGCAAAGGGCAGGACACTCTGATTGGCTAAGGGAACCTAAAGTCGTCAGCGGCTGCTTCAATCCAAGCAACCAAAACGGTCACTGGAAATTTTCTTCAAAGAATGCCTCGAGTCCTTCCTGCCCGTAGACTTTTCCCCAACAATTCCCACCTTGAGAACTCCTTCCAGGCTTTCAGCCTTCACGTCCCGAACCCAACCTCCATCTCCCTCCAGCCTCTCTCCACCTCGCCAAACATCACCCACCCACCCTGCTCGTCGCTGTTATATCCTCAACTGGCCCATGCTAACTTACTTTTCACAACGTCGAGTTTCACACGTCCTTTCATGTCTGCTGCTGTTGGCAACTCTTTCCAGTTTCTCAAACAGAGGCCTGCTTGCTGGTGACACGTTGGCGTACAGCAGGCTGTAATAGGGATGGCCAGGGCCGCTGAACTTTTTTCTCGAGTTGGGCGACGGGGGGTGTGGTTCGGGGAGGATATCGCTTGGTTCCGCGCGGAAGTGTTGGAAGAATCGATATTAAGCGACGTGGGGTGAAAGGGTCAAGAATACGGAAGAGAGGACGGTTGCAGCAGTTGTTGTTTTTTTATTTGGTGTGTGTGGGGAAAAGTGTGCAAGGAAAAGATTGCTACGAGTTAGCATCGGAGAGTTGGAAGCCATAGTTTCTTGAGTGCGGGTTCGTGGACTTTCATGCGTGCAACTGAGACCGTTCGAGACGAGGATACGTTACGCAATTTAACGGCTAGATATTCGACGCGGCTTTAAAGATCTGTTGACTTCGGTCTGCTAGACGTCCAAAAGCTGTTGTTCCCGCCGGCTCATTCGGCAACACACGGTTCACTTCTTACTTTCTTGGCGTCCATTTTATTCGAGCGCCTTAAGTCTAGTTTCCAACCGGCTGATTCGGAAGCAAACGGTTTATTCCTTCCGTCACGCGTTTTTCTGCTGATTAAGCACAGAGAAAGTCGAGTTAATCGTTCGGATTTCTTATAGCAGCTGATTCGAAAGAGTTTCCGACTGGGTCAAATCCGTCGATATGGATTTCGACGGCTCCGACATGATGTCTGGTATCGGGGTTCGGCAAGGGATGGTGTCTACAAGCAGGCGGCGAAATTGGGCCAACCAGGGATCCTCCCTGGGAGGCATGATGCAGCTCGACGGTTTTCCAGCGCCGTGGGAAACGGGACTTCTCGGAGGTTCACATCATATGACGGCTGTGGCGGCGGCGACGGCGGCTTCCGAAGCTGCGCTGGCGGCGAGCGCTGCGCTCTCCGGATCTGCGCTGGCAGCGAGCCTTTCAGCTGCTGCGTTCTCGCCGGCGGGTGTTGCTCCCGTTAACGTTACCGGCTCGCTTGTAACCGGTCACGGCGTTTCTGCCAGCCTGCCGGCTCGCTTGTGCGTCGGAGCCTCCGACGGAACGCCGCAGCTTCTGCCGCTGCCAGTGGCAGCGCCGGTCATGCCACCCCAATTACTACTGCCGCATCAGCACAGGCCCGTGATTTCCGGGATGACGCAGACGTTGTCCAGCAGCAGCGCCATCGGCGCCGCGATTGGCGGAGCCTCATCGTCATCATTCGCATCTGCAGCCGCAGCCGCAGCGACAGCAGCGACGGCAGCAGCAGCAGCAGGAATCGGAGGAGGTCGGGCCGCGTCGCACCTTGCGCCACCGCCGCCACCGGCGCCACCGCCGCCCGCGGCGCACACGCTGGCGCCGTTTCTGAGCAAGACGTACGAGCTGGTGGACGACGCGGCGACGGACGGCGTGGTGGCGTGGACGGGCAGCGGCGTGAGCTTCGTGGTTTGGCAGCCGGCAGAGTTCGCGCGCGACCTGCTGCCGCTCTACTTCAAGCACAGCAACTTCTCCAGCTTCGTGCGCCAACTCAACACTTACGTGCGTGGTGGGCACCGTTACCGTGACCGACTCCGTCTCTCCTCCCATCCATGCATGCTGATAATGACGCGGCCAATTCGCCTGTCGTCACTCCCCTCCCGTGTTACCTTCGCGGTTGTGTTCGTTTCTCGTATGGTTCTCGTTCGCTCCGCCGGTGCTCCTCTCCCACGGAGTGCTCGATGACTGAGCGACGCCGCTTCGCCAGCTTCGTGCGCTAACTCAACACCTACGTGCGAGCGGGTGGGCACCATCCCTCTGCCATGTCACCTTTGCCTCCCTGCCCTCTCGCTTTTGCCCCGTGCCCGTGCGTCCCTTGACTGCCGCGTTTGTCTGCCGCGTTTCCCTCCCTCGGTTCGACCTGCTGTCGTTTTCTTCGTCAGTTCCGGCGTTCACCGTTCGAATTGCGTCGTGTTACCGAGCGCCAAATCCATGCGACGTTTTTCAGCAGTCCAGCGGCAATTAGTCGTCGCCTCTGCGAAAATCCAAAGAAATAGTCGTCGACGAGCACCATGCGACGTTCGTCCCACTCGCCGCCGTCGCAATGCGATTGAACTCCTGAAATAATCGCGTCGGCTGCGCAGATCTTGCGCGGCGCGGCGCTTCAGCTTCTCCGCACCTCGAAAGTCGTCGCAGGCCTCCTGTCGCGAAAAATTACCGGCTAGAAATTCCGCGGCTCTCGCGAATGTCCTAGTGGCACCCAACCGAGGCGCATTGCGCGCGTCGTTATTCTCTGCCGACGCGCGCTCGAATCTGCGAACCTCACTCTCCCCCACGCCCCTCCTGTTCCGCCCCCTCCCTCTTCCCCCCCGCAACCCCTAACCCCCCTATTCTACGAAGCGTTCTTAATTCTCCCCCTCCCGCTCCGCGCGATTCCCGCTCCTTCCCCTCCGCAGGGCTTTCGCAAAGTGGATCCTGATCGCTGGGAGTTCGCTAATGAGTGCTTCGTTAGAGGCAAACCGCAGCTGCTGCACTCCATACACCGCCGCAAGGCCTCCACTTTCGGAAACAGCAACGGCAACGGAAACGTTAACGGCAACGGAAATGGTAACGTAAACGGTAACGGTAACGGAACGTTACCAGGCTCTGCTGCTGCCATTGCTGGTTCCCTCCACCCCGTCCCAGATCTACCTCCCCCAGTTGCCGCCGCCACCATTCTCCCGCATCTCACCCCGCCTTCTTCCCTCTCCTCCGCCTTCGCCGCGGCCTCTGCTGCTCCGCCCGCCGCCGCCGCCGCTTCCGCTGCTGCGTCCGCCTCAGTCCTTGCGCGGCGATACCAGCAGCAGCAACAGCAGCTGTTGGGTGACGTTGACATGATGCTGGGTGACGTCAGAAGAGGGGCGATTTCTGCCAGTACAGTGTTTGACGAAACCGCTGCAGTCAACGCGGTCAACGCGGTCAACGGAGTCAACGCAGTTAACGGAGTCAACGGAATGAGGGTGCTGAATGGCACGAACGGAGCCTATCCCATCAACGGAATGAGTCCCCTCATTGGGTTGGGTGCAGTCAAGGCAGTGAACGGTCCAGCTGTGGTGGGGGACACGTGTGCTGCTGCTGTGTCTGCGTTGACCGGGTTGACTGGGTTGACCGGGTTGACCGGGTTGACTGGAGTGACTGGGATGGAAGGATTGACTGGGGTAGCTGCTGCCATGCCTGGTGGGTTGGCTGCAACAGCTGGGATGGCTGCAAGTGGAATGACTGGGATGACTGCTACAGCTGGGATGACTGGGACTGCTTGGATGGCTGGATTGGCTGGCACTTTGACCGCTGGCATGGCTGCTACAGCCGGAATGGCCGCTACAGCCGAAATTACTGCATTGACTGGAATGACTGGATTGACTGGATTGACTGGCACGTTGTCTGCTGGTGGAATGGCCGCCACAGCTGGCATGGCCGCTACAGCCGCTACAGCCGCTACAGCTGGCAGCATGGCTCCGTACGTTGCGCCCAGTCGCATGCTCGACGTGGGCGCGCGCGGGATGGGCGTAATTGGGTTGTCTGAGGAGCTGAGCCAGCTGCGGGGCGGGGGAGACAGAAGCGCGCTGCTGCGCCACCAGCGTTCCGCCGCTGCTGCAGGAGCGGGCGCGGAAGCGGGAACGGGAGCGGGAGCGGCGGGGCTGGGAGCGCCGGGGGCGGCGGGGAAAACGGTGGAGCTTGGCGCGTTCGGGCTGGCGGAGGAGCTGAGCCAACTGCGCGGTGGGGCGGACAGAAGCGCGCTGCTGCGCCGTTCCGCTGCGGGGGCGGGGGCGGGGGCGGCGGGGCACAACACGGTGGGACCGGTGGGGAACACTGTGGGGGCGGCGGGGAACAACACGGTGGAGCTGGGCGCGTTCGGGCTAACCGAGGAGCTGAGTCAACTGCGGCGCGACCGCGGGGTGCTGATGCGCGAGCTGCTGCGGTCGCGGCAGCAGGCGGCGGCGAGCGCGGAGAAGCTCGCGCTGCTGGAGGCGAGCATGGCGGCGCAGGAGCAGCGGCAGGCGCACATGACGGCGTTCCTCGCGCACGCGCTCAACAACCCCGCGTTCCTCGCGGGCATCGCGCAGCTGCAGGGGCAGCACGCGCACGCGCTGCTGCGCGCCAGCCGCGACAGCAGCAGCAGCGGGAGCGGGAGCGCGGGGAACGGCGGACTCGGCGGAATCGGCGGAATCGGCGGAATCGGCGGAATCGGGGGAGCCGGTGGGATTGGCGGGATTGGCGGGTCCGGGGGGGTCGGCGGAAGCGGGGGAAAATGGGGAGGCGCAGGGAGGGGGAGTCCGAAGAGGGCTAGTATCAGCCCTAGCGGGAGCAGCAGCAGCGGGCGGGGGAGTAGGAGTGGAAGCAGGAGCGGGCTGGATGTGAGTGTGAATGGGAGTTCCAGTCACGGGGGGTCTTGTATCGGTGCAGGGAGTGGTGGTGGAGGGAGTCCAGAGTGGTTGAAAGCGGTTACTGCTGGTATGGGCGCGGCTGGTATCGGTGCCCCTGGTTTTGCTGCCGCAGCTGCTGCCGCTGCTGCTGCCGCCGCTGCTGCTGGTGGTAATACTAGCAATGGAGCGGTTGGGATGGATGTTGATGGGTGCACGGACCTTGGAAACACTCACAAGCGCGGGTTTGACAGCGGAATCAATACAGGTATGGGAGGCGGAACAGGCATGGGATTGGGCACTGATACTGGCGTTGGGATTGGAGGAATGGGGGCTATGGGAGAAATGGGAGGGATGGGAGAGGTGCAAGAGTCGGGGGCAGTGAAAGGGATCGGTGTGGGGAAGGGTGGAGCAAGGTTGAACCTGTTTCCCCCTCACGGTAGCAAGGTGAAGGAGGCAGCAGCAGCAGCAGCAGCAGCAGCAGGAGCAGGGGGAGGGGTGTATTTCGTGAGTGGGACAGGCAGCATGGGCATGCACTCGCAACTCTTTTTCAAGCGCCACAAGAACAGCAGCGGCACCAGTGGCGGTAGTGCCGGTGCTGCCGGTTCTGGTGCTGCTGGTGCTGGTGCTGGTGCTGGTGGTGGGGAGGAGGGTTCTGCTTCTGCGTTTGACCATGGCAGTGCGGAGACATCCAAGAGCTTTCTCCCAGGGCTTTCAGGCAGCGACCTGCATCACCTCTTCCCGCTCCCTGCTGCTTCCAGTAAGGCTGTGGCTGCTGCTGCTGCTGCTGCTGCTGCTGCTGCTGCTGCTGCTGCTGCTGCTGCTGCTGCCGGTGCTGCTGCTGCCGGTGCTGCTGCTGGTCCTAGTGCTGCCACTGCAGCGGCGGCGGCGACTGCTGCTGCATCAGCGTCTGGCACCGCTGCTGAGAAGGCCGTTGCAAACAGCAACAAATTGAGCACCAAGCAGCAACAGAGGGAGCAGGGCGAGGCGAATCACAATCCCGATGCCGCTTATAACGAGTACGGGCTCAACAATCCGCTCACCAACCCGTTTGACCGCCCGCCGCCACCCGGATTCACCATGGAGCGGTTTGACGTCCTGGGCGGGGAGCTCGTGTCCTATCTGACCCCCATGGGCGCTGCTGCTGCCACTGCTGCTGTCGCTGCCGTTTCAGGGCCCCTTGGGAATTCCTTTGGGGGAACCCTCGGGGGAACCCTTGGGGGAAACCTTGGGGGATCGCTTGGGGGATCCCTCACAGGGGGGCTTTCAGGGCAGTTCGGAGGGCCGCTTACAAGGCAGCTTACAGGGCAGCTTACTGGTTCCTCCTCCTTTGGCGGGACCACTGCTGAGCAGCTTTTTGAGGCGCCTCAAAAATCCCTCACAGGGGGGCTTGCAGGGCAGTTTGGGGGGCCCCTTACAAGGCAGCTTACAGGCTCCTCCTCCCTTGGCGGACCTACTGCTGAGCAGCTTGCAGCGGCGTTTGGAGGGGTGGCGGGAGCAGAAGGGGTGTATGACAGCGTGTTTGGGGAGGGTATTGGTGGGAGTTTGAACCTGGACGGCACTGGTGGGCGCCTGAACGCTGGTGGTATTTGGGGGGAATTTGAGGGGGACCAGAAGATGGGTGGAGCGGAGAAAATGTATGAGCGGATGTTTGGCAGCGGTGCTGGAGCTGCTGCTGCTGCTGCTGCTGCTGCTGGTGGTGGTGGTGCTGCTGCTGGTGCTGCTGGTGCTGGCAAGGTTTTCTGTGAGTCTCCTGCTGATATAATCACCAGAGGAGCGGCAGCAGCTGCAGCAGCGGCTGCAGCGAGGAGGGAGCAGTTGCAGCAGCTTCAGCTGGAGCAGCAGAGGGAGCAGCAGCAGCAGCTGCAGCAGCTTCTGTTGCTGCAGCAGCAGGAGGAGCAGCTTTTGCTGCTGGAGCAGGAAAGGCTCGGGCGAGGGCTTGTTCCTGCCTCTGTAGCCGCATCAGCACTGGGCACAGCAGGAACAGCAGCAGCAACAGCCGCAGCAACAGTGGCAGCAGCTGCAACGGCGGCAGCAACGGCAGCAGCAGCAAGAGCAGCGTTGACTGATGAGCTGAGAGCAGAGGAGACGCGAGCAGTTGCTGCAGCTCAGATAGCAGCAGCAGCATCAGGAGCAGGGGCAGCAGCAGGAGCAGGGGCAGCTGTGTCTGGTGCCAAGAGTGCAACAAGAGCAGCAGTAGAACTAGAAACAAGCAGAGCAGCAGTGCCTCCAGCTGTAGCAACGGCAGCAGCTTTGGCACAATTAAGGGCTGCAGAGATGACGTCAGCACAGCTGAGAGCAGCAGAGTTGAGAGCGGCAGAGATACGAGCAGTGGCAGCGGCAGCTGCTGCTGCTTCTGCTGCTGGCCCCTCACTTGTGCGGGCCGTACCTGTCCTTGCAGCAACCGCTGCAGCATCAAGCGTTCCTGCCTTAGCTGCCTCGCTGGCTGCATCAAGCACAGCAGCTGCGTCAGCAGCAGCAGTGGGTTTTGAGAATTCTCAAAAATCGAGCGTTCCTGCCTTAGCTGCCTCGCTGGCTGCATCACTGGCAGCATCAAGCCCAGCAGCTGCGTCAGCAGCAGCAGTGGGGACGGGCATGGGCACGAGTATGGGCGCGGCAGCAGCGTTGGCAGGAGGTATCCTTGCAGGGGCCACTGCCCTGGGATTAACGGGAGGAGCCTTGGCTGGGGGAACTTTGGGAGGTGGAGCGTCGGGATTGGCAAGTGAGTTAACTGGGATGCGTACCCTGGATGGGTCTGCACCTCTCTCTCTGCTGTCTCCCACTGAGACGATTTTTGAGGCGCCTCAAAAATCGGCTGGGGTGCGTACCCTGGGTGGGTCTGCACCTCCCTCTCTGCTGTCACCCCCTGGGTTACCACCGCTCGTGCCCCCGGTGATGCCATTGACAGCAACAGCAGCAGCAACAGGTTCGATGCCTGCTGCTGCTCTTTCTGCCGCTGCTGCTGCTCGCAAAGCTGATCTGGCACGATCTGCAGCTGCTGCTGCTACTACCACTGCCGCTGCAACTGCTTTCTCCTCACCCCTAATTGGTAAAGTAGCCGCATTCACTGCCGGCTCTTCTGCTGATGCCTCTGCTTGTGTGGCTTTTGAGGGGCTGAACAGCCTGCCCAGGCCGCCTATAGTGGGGACGTCAGGAGCTGCATTCACCGCAACAGCTGCTGCAGCAGCGCTGGCGTCTGCTGGTGCTCCCACCTGCCACATTCCCCTCCCCATCCCCCTGCCGCTGCCTGCGCCTCTGCCCGTGCCTCTGCCCGTGCCTCTGCCTGTGCCTCTGCCCGTACCTCTTCCCGTGCCTCTGTCCCAGCCAATCGCGCGCCCACCTACCTCTCTCTCCCCTCCTCTCTCCAGCTCTTTTCCCCTTTTCGACTCCGCTCCTCTGTCGCGCTCCTCCCCACTCTCTACCTCTTTCCCTCTCTCGCACTCCTCGCCTCTCTCCCACCCCTCTCCTCTCTCCGACTCTCACTCAGCACCTATCTCACTATCAGCATCAGCAGCAGCAGTGGCAACAGTGGCAGCGGCGGCAGCAGCAGCAGCAGCAGCAGGAGTTACATCAGCCTCTGGGGGAAAGCCAAGCCTTACCTCTTCCTTAGCCCCAAATCTCCCCGCCTCCTCCCCAATCAATCCTATCAGCCCCATCCGCCATATAAGCCGCCCCATAGGCCCTCCTATAGGTCCCCCCACGGGGCACATCCGCCCTATAAGCCTTCTCGGTCCCATAGACCAAGTTCCTGTACCGATGACGTCAGCAGGATTGACTGTGACGTCAACTCCATTGGTGGTGCCAACACTGCAACCCCAGTCTATGCCGCCATCTCTCCACCTCTCATCTGCTTCTCTCCTCTCTACCTCTCTCCTCTCATCCTCCCACCTCCCCTCCTCCCACCTCTCCTCCTCCCAAATCTCCGCCTCTTTCCTCTCCTCTGCGGCCCTCTCTCTTTCTCCAGCAGAGCTCTTCGCAGCCGAAGCAGCTCACTGCACGGCCACTGCCATGCCACCTCCCCCCATTCCCACTCGCCCGTCCACCGTAAATCCTAACCAGCATCTCACTCTTGCTCCCGCTCCCCTCACCTCCACGCTTGCCCCTCCCCACCCTCTCCCTCGTACGCCGCCCCCTCTTGCTGGGCCTTTGTTGGATGGCAGCGGCATTGCACCTAATTTTTCTCCCGTCCTTGTTCCCACTCTTGCTCCGACTCTTGCTGCTTCGACCTTTGCTGCTTCGACCTTTGCTGCACCAACCCTCGCTGCATCAACCCTTGCTGCTTCGACCCTCGCTGCCTCAACCCTTGCTGCCCCAGCCCTTGCTGCTTCGGCCCTCGCCTCTGTGATTGCTGCAACACCACCCTCTCTGGCCTTTCTCCCTGCAACTACACCTGCTACAGCCGCTGCAGCCGCTACAACTGCTACAGCTGCTACAGCTGCTACTGCACCTTGTGCCGATACAGTCCTATCATTGCCTTCTGGTTCTGCCAGTATGGCTGGCAGCGTTACAGCCACTGCTCCTGCAGCTACAGCCACCTTGGGTGCTGTTACTGCCGCTACAGCTGACTCGTTTGAAAACGCTGCTGTAGCTGATAGAGCCGCTACAGCTGCCGCCCTGGCTGCTACAGCTGCGGGCATGGGGATGGGTGCTACAGCTGCGAGCATGGGAATGGGTGCTACAGCTGCGAGCATGGGGATGGGTCACAGTTCGTCTGTGCTGTTCAAAGGGGAGGGGGAGGCTGATGATGAGGCGTTTTGGCAGCAGCTGCTGAGTGGGGAGGGGCAGTGAGAGCAGTGGGGAGGAACAGTAAGTGCACCGGGGAGTTAGCGATGATAAAATTTCGGCAGAAGTGGAGGGAGGGCGGCTGGGGAGCAGAGGGGAGAAGGAAGGAAGGAGCGGAGCGGAGGAGGACAAGTGAAGAGAAGACGAATAGGGGAGGAGATGGGCCATGTAAAATGTATGCCACTCTCATTCGTTTGTTCTAGTCACAGTTTCTGCTGCACCTGCCCCTACCTCCACCTGCCTCTGCATCTGCATGTGTATTCCTTCTATATGTGTGCCACCCTGCGTGCTTGTGAGTTTTGGGTGTAGATTCTGTGTGTTTTGTGTGATTTGCGGCTCAGCATCCTCTCTGCTTCAGGATGCCTAGATAGTTCACTTCTTAGCACCTCAAATTTTGTACCCATTATCCTTATTAGCGCGTACCTCAGATCAATAGTCTTCACTTGTGATCTGACAGGTCACGGATGGCCTTGCAGTATCAAGGCAGGCCTGGCAGCATCTGGTCTCAGCCTACAGAGGAGCCTATGAAGGAGCTTTGTTTTTTTTCAGCAGCTCAAGCGTTCAAATGGTTTTGCTGGCATATTTGATAGTGGGTAAATGGTGCTTATTCAGCAGCACAAGCACATGAAATATGGTACAATATTAGCAGCCATGCCCTGAGAGAGGGCAAGAACGGACAACCTATTTACTAAAACGCAGAGCAAGATTGAACAAGCTACTTATTGATTTATGTGCGCTGCTTTATTTTCTCATACCGTAATATCTCACAGCCTCTACTGAACAGCGACTCCTGTAGCCCCCTCTTCCAGTCCGTCAGACCCTTCCGGCAAAATCTCCTCCGCCGTCGGCCCATCTTCCAGAGTCCTCGTAGCACCGTCACTGTCAGCAGCAGCACCCTCAATATCACGGCCCCTACTGAACGGCGACTGCTGTAGCCCCCTCTTCCAGTCCATCAGACCCTTCCGGCAAAATCTCCTCCGCCGTCGGCCCCTCTTCCAGAGTCCTCGTTGCACCGTCACTGTCAGCAGCAGCACCCTCAATATCACGGCCTCTACTGAACGGCGACTGCTGTAGCCCCCTCTTCCAGTCCGTCAGACCCTTCCGGCAAAATCTCCTCCGCCGTCGGCCCATCTTCCAGAGTCCTCGTAGCACCGTCACTGTCAGCAGCAGCACCCTCAATGTCGCCCTCGTTCTCGCTGCCAGGGCTCTCCTCATTAGCTATGCCCACGGATTCGGAATCTTGAGCACCAGTATTCGAATCTGCACTTTGTTCCGCCTCCGTATCTGCTCCCTCAGTGGACTGAGACTCTGCTGTTCCAGCTTCCGCTGACGCAGAACTTTCCGTTTCAGAACTCTCCGTTTCAGGGCTCTCCGCAGGGCTCTCCGTTTCAGAATTCTCCGATTCAGCGCTCGCCGTTTCAGAGCCCTCTGCGGGAGCACTCTCAGTTTCACCGCCTGCTGGGCTCTCGCTGCCGTTTGAACTCACCGCGTCGCCTTCCGCTACAGACTTCGCGTCCCCTGCTACAGCCGAATCGGCTGGGGCACCCTCTGTTTCGGCGTCTGCGGGGCTCTCGTTGCCGTCTGAGCTCACCGCGTCATCGTTTGCTACAGGCTCCGCGCCCGCTGCTACAGCCGTCTCGGTGTCAGCTTCTGCAGCTGCGGCTACAGCTGCTGCCGCCTCAGCAGCGGCGGTAGCGGCTTCCTCCGCCGCCGCCTCCACCTCCGCCGCGATGTCCTGTCCCTCCGCGGCTTCCGCCGCCGCCTCTTCCGCCTTCATCTCCGCCTTAACTTCCGCTTTCTCCTCCGCCTCAACTTCCGCCATCTCTGCTGTAACCAATTTGTCGCCTACTGCAGCGGCTACTTCTCCTAGAAGCACGACCGTATTCTGCCCCGCTACAGCCACATTTTCGCGTTCCTCCACGTCGCTATCTGCCGCTGCGCCCTCCGCTACAGCCGTGAGGATCTCCTCTGCTACAGCCGAGGGAATTTCGTCCGCTACAAGATCCGAGGAGTCCTCGCCAAAAGTCACGACGCTGTTCTGCCCCGCTACAACCACGTTCATGTTGTCTTCTTCCGTCCCCAGCCCTCCATCCTCGCTCGAACCTTCCGTCTCGGGGCCGTTGCCAAGAGCCTCATCTGCCGCCGCCGCCGCCGCCGCCGCTGCCGCCGCCGCCGCGGCGCCGTCGCCGCTCGTTGCGCTTAAGTTGTTGTCATCGTCGTCCCACGCCGAAAGAGCCGTTGAGACGGATTCCACGACGCGGCTGCCTGTATCTGGACGGAGGTCGTCCAAACCAAGCGGCTCGGGGGACTCTGAACGCGATTGTGTCGGCGGGTCCTGTAGCGAGGTTCCTGCTCGCCACGGGCGCGACGCGTGGGAGAAAATCGGTGAGGAGAGAAGACAGAGCAGAAGAACCGCCTGAATTCTTACATCCATGACAGTTAGCTTAATTAAGGTGTGTAGCGTTCCAAACGGTAAGCACAAGTCGTCGTTTCTAGTGTGTGGGAGCCCAGGAATTCTGTGGCTTCCGATTTTCAAGCTTCCAGCATTCAAATCATCGAGGAGATGAGTGGCGAACGAAAACAAGAGGAGGAAGGATTATGAAATGGAATGCCTTCTGCTGCGCAGAAACGTGGTTTTGGTTGGGTATGCAAATTCGACCAAAAACCAGATGATTGGTGGGCTCCAATGGCCGAACCGCGCCAATGAGCCAATGCTTGGGTTTGAATTCGACAGGTGGATTTCGTGGGTTTGTGTGGGAGCATGTGTTGCGGAATCGCTTGTAGATGGCCCGAAATAGATGTGGATGGCCACGGGGAAGGGCGCGGCTCGGGCGCTCGACCTACCTGGACCCACCCCCCCAAAATGCCCGAGGCGAAATGAAAAACTACGACCCAGCTGGACCTGGTGCTTGGCCGTTTTATCTATTTCCAGATAGATAATTGGCGAAGGGTAACCAGTTCGCCAGCCTTTTTCCCAGCGTGAACAGTTGACGGGGAAGACGGTTACCGCATCGCCGGGCGTGAAAAAAGACGACCAAGCGTTAGATCGCAAGCGGCTGACGACAGCCGTGCGATACAGTGTAGTGTAGTTGATTGTTGAAATTCTGTCAGTCTGTATAATTGTTTCCATGTTTTTTTTCCAAAGCAATGTTGTATTAGTGAATTGTGTGAATGATGGGGTGGTTTTAAGGGGGGTTTTTTATGTTTGAAATGGACAAAGCATGTCTTCAGGTATCTATTCAATGCCGTTTCAGTGTTTTTTTTGCATGGATGGCCATACAAATGCCTGAATTGTGGAGCTCAAAATGGTCATTTTAAGGGGGTTTTATGGACTTTTGGTTGGTTTTAAATGGGTTTTTTTTGGGGATTCTGTCTCCTCTAGTACTGCTCTACTTGTTTTATTTTTTTTTTAAGTTTGCAAATGTTGCACTTTTTGGTTCATATTAGCCAACTCAAGTATGTCAGAAGTACATGCTAGATCATTCTTTGGCAATCATCAAGTCAACATTGTTTTTTCTTATTTGTTATTTAATGGCATTCAATGCAATTTCAGGCTTTGAATGCCCTGCCCATCACACATGCCATGTCAAACCAACGATGAAATGTGAGAAAATGGGGAAAACGTCTGATGATTTGCTAGGGTGTTCTCAACGTCTATTTGCTGTGTTTCTTTATGATGACTTAGATGTTTTCCACCCCCAACAAACGTTAACATAGTGTCATAGTGCTTCCATGGGTTTGAACCTTTGGGTTTTGGTCAATTAGATGATTTTTACATCGATTACAAGTACGGTCGGTTTGTGGAAGGTAGCATATATATTTGATTGTGGTTTTCAATGTTTTGTTGTTTTGGAATCGTGTGCCTTACACCTGGATTGCCTCCTTGCATTGTGCTTTGTGGTGTGGGGTTTGGGGAAATGGTATGTGTTTAGTTAGGCCTGCTTGCAATCTTGGTTGTTTAAAGTTAACACATTATTGTGCTAGGTGTAGTTTGTAGTAGCGCATTGAATGGGGTGGTCATTTTCGAGAGTGGAGGTAAGATTAAGGTGACTTCCCCGAAATGGAACTGCTTGTTCGGCGCATACGAGGTACATTTTTGACGAGCCCGATGCAGCGAAATTAGTAGCCCAATTTCGAGTTGAATAATAGCGATCGGGCGACTGAATTTGGGCAAATTTCGAAATCGACCGTCCTTGCATGGACTCGAATTCGAAATCACTGACCTCCACGTGGCGGCTCAGGATAACTCTCGAAATTGGCATGGGGGAGATGGTTATTGGTCGGATTCTGTCGTTGTCAGATTTTCAGAGTGCAGCACAAGATTGAGATTGTCCCGATACGAGGGCTTTAGATCGCGGGTCAGTATGGGTTTCATGGCCTGGGGTGGCACTGCCATTGATAAATGCAACCTTTTTTGTCGCCACAACCATACAGGGTCGAATGTTTGAACACGACCTCAAAGTCCAGGCTCAGGATGGTGTTGGGCGGGTATAAATGCCCAACGGAGGTCATTTTCTCATTTTACATCTTCTCCTTCAGTTTTTGTCCAACTTCTTCCTTAGATCCCAGCCTCCCAGCTTCCACCACTTCGTCAATGGAGCCTTCGATGGAAGTAGAGGCTGCTGGCTTGCGTGTGCGCCTCTCTCGTTTAGAGTTCGAGAACATGCGATTCAAGCGTGGGGAATGGACCGAGAACATGCTCAACTTTGCTATGGTGTAAGATGCCCTTGTAGTTTTGTTTCTCGGATAGATGTGTGACGTTCTCTGTCACGTGTAGAGTACTAGTAGCGATCTAGCAAATAACGCTCTCGCCGCTCTAACGTTTAAACCATATTCCGAGTACTAGTTGTCAGAAAGAAGAGACTGGAATGATTGAACTATGAGTGAAAGCAGTACAAGTACCAAACCCTAGAATTGTGTACCCCCCATAGGCTAACCCACTGTAGCCTAAACAAACACAACATATATAATGTTTGACACACCCCCATAGGCAAAGTGGGGGAGAGCAAGGGGTCACAAGACCAGTCAAAGCAAAGCAAAACAAGCTCAGGGTGGATCTCAAGGATACCACACAAATTCCGAGCACAAGCAAGCGGTCACAAGACCAGTTCACATGCAGGTTGATAATATAACAAGAGATACAGTGATCACAACCTAGCAAGTGTAAACATGCAGGTATATATATAAAGATCACAGTACAAGCAGGGTCAAGAAGTAAGTGAGGTCCAGCAGGCACAAGGCCTAGAAGAGTACAGAAACGCTGATGGTCACAAGGCTGAAGCGCCTTGGTGAACACATCAGCAAGGTTGGCCTCAGTGGCCACGTAACGCAGACGAAGCTGACCACGCTGCTGCAGCTCTCGAGCAAGGAAGTACCGAAGGGCGATGTGCTTCGTTCTGTGCTCCAGTCTGTGCTCCTCACACAAGGCAATGGCAGCCTGGTTGTCGACGTACAGCACTGGAGGAGAACGAGGCCGCTCTCCCAAGTCGGTCAGCAGGTAGGTCAGCCAGCGAAGCTCCTGGGCAGCCATGGCTGTGGCGTAGATCTCAGCCTCACAACTGGAGCTGAGAACAGAAGAAGAGCGTGTAGAACGCCAAGAAACTGAGCCGGAGCCAAGGCTGAAGGTGTAACCCTGAGACGACCGCTGAGTAGCCTGGTCGTCCGCCCAAGAAGCGTCTGAGTGTCCAGTAAGTACAACTCGGTCTCGCCCTCCAAGCACTAGCCCCATGCCCGACGTACTGCACAAGTAGCGCAACACCCTCTTAGCGGCATCCATGTGCTCCTTCCTGTGACGGCCAGGAGCAACAAAGCGTGCAAGGATGCTAAGAGGGTATGCAAGGTCAGGTCGAGTGCAGGTCATCAGGTACATGAGGCAGCCCACAAGCTCTGGATACGGGCCACTCGGCTCTACGGACTCATCCGAAGGCAGAGCCGAGAGCGAGTGACCGGTAGGCAGAGGAGTGGACTGAGGCGAGGAGTACGTGAAGCGGAAGCGCTGAAGGATCTGCTGCACCATGTGTGACTGAATCAGGGTGATGGTGCGCCGTGCTCTGTCCCGGGTGATCCGCAAGCCAAGATAGCTTGTCAGTTCACCCAGGTCTGTGCACGTGTGTCTCCTCTGCAGCTCCGACTTCACGTGGGCGAGTGCCGCGGTGTCAGCAGTGGCAAAGACCAAGTCGTCGACGTACACGAGGATGTAGAACGGCGGCAGTGAGGTGTCTGTGCGTAGAAACAGTGACGGGTCAGCAGTAGAGGGAGCGAACCCAAGAGCCGCAAGTGTCGTCCTCAGTGTGTCGTGCCACTCACGCGGTGCCTGGCGGAGACCGTAGACCGGCCGCTGAAGTCTCCACTGGGTACCAGGAGGAACCGACCCAGTGAAGCCAGGAGGGCGGCGCAGCCAGATCTCCTCGTGCAGGCTGCCCTGCAAGAAAGCAGTGCTGAAGTTAAGTGAGTGAAGCTCGTAGTCGCGCTGAGCGGCTATGTGCAGCAGCACCCGAAGAGTGGTCATCTTCGGGGTGGGGGAGAAGGTCTGAAAGAAGTCAACTCCCTCTCGCTGACTGAAGCCTCGAGCCACGTAGCGCGCCTTGAAGACAGGAGGAGAACCCGGCGGCCGCTTCACCCTGAAAATCCACATGCCACTGACGATGTTCGCCCCAGGTGGGGGAACCTCATCGACGTAGGTGCGTGTGGACTTCCAGGAAGCCATCTCTGCGTCCATGGCTGTCTGCCACTGAGAGGAGTAGGGACCCGCCATCGCCTCAGCGTAAGTGCGCGGGGTCGGGATGTCTGGTGCATCCGGGTCTCCCTCAGGGGCAACTAGCATGGACACGAGGTGGGGTAAAGCAGCAGCAAAGCACTGGAACTCCTCCTGTCTGTCCTCAAGGACGTCCGTGCCAAGAGCACACTCACCCCCGACGGACGGAGGACAGACAGACTCAGACTCAGACTCAGCAACGAGGCTAGTGGCGTAGTCTAGACGACAGGCAGCAGCAAAGTCAACTAACTCAGCGACCAGAGAAGACGCAGCGGTGGACTCAAAGGTAGGGTCAGTGACAACAGTAGCGAGGAGACGGGTGACAGTGGGACTGGTAGCACGACGGGAGTCAGACTCCGGATCAGGAAGAGTAGGCAGAGAGGACGCAGGAGGAGACGGCAGCGGAACACGCTGAGGAGCAGTGGAGGGACGCAGAGTCATGTAGTGAGTGCCAAGGACAGGAGGAGGACGCTCACGTGGGACACGACGACCAGTGCGAGCAGGACGAACAGGCGACGCAGGACGAGACTCAGGCTCACGACGCTCGGTAAGACCTCCTGTGGGACCAGTGTAAGGAGAGGGACCAGGGAGAAGCGAGGCAGGCGGGAACTGTGACTGCGACTGGACAGGCGGAGGACACTCGACGGAGGGAGGAGGACAAGGAGGAGGAGCCTGACCAA